GTCTCGGTGTATACCTGATATTAATATCTGTCAATCTAAAAGTCGTTTTCTCAAGTAGATTTTAAAATTTACATATCTGCCTTTTAAACAAATGTTTTTTAAAACAAAATGTACCTTGGATGCCAATGCGGCTAGACCTCAACAATTCTTATTGTAGCTGTATTTCATCGGCAGTAGAAGAAAAAAAAACAGTAGAGCATCTCCTCTGCAGCCGCTCAGCCTACTGAGAAACTCGAATAAAGTTTGTGGCGTAGCATTTCTTTGCTCATCCAGCGCAGCTTGTATTCTATTATTCTTGGTTTATGGCTGGATTTTGACGCAGTGTATGTACATACATACATACTTATACATAAATACGGAAAGAATACACCATTTGCTCTTCTCAAAATATTCCGTCTGCTTCCTTTCAAAATCAGACCGGTTAGAAAAAGCAAACAATGGAATAGAAATGACATCATTTCAAAAATGAGAAGCACTATTCATGCTGGCTACACATAAAAATTCAGGTACACAGATAGTAAAAATACATCCCCGAAATTCAAAAGTAACTGAGACAACAATGGTTATTTTACTTTGTAATGCTGCACGAATTTAATATGCCTAACAATGATACCACAAAGGTAAGATAATCATATGTAGGTAGCTATTCGAAACAATTGAATTTGTATGGGTCCATAAATTGAAGAAATAATGTATATTTCTATGTACATACATATTTATCTTCCATACTGAATATATACAAACATATGTACATACATATGTATTTATATTTGTTCACACACTGCTTTCCAAAAACAAAGCTAATGGATTACGCATGCAGAGTGTGCAAACGAGAATTCAAATCCAATGAAGCTAATGAAGGAAGTAATGAAAATAACAGCGATGAAGTAGAATAAAAATGTTAACAAAAACAAAACCTATACATATTTACATACATACATATGTAGCTACATATCACACGAATTTAAGCTCTGTTTAACGCATAGCCTATAAATAGCTGCGTGAGTAAGAAGGCGTTAGACAATTGTTACCGCTGACCTCAGTATAATTTAACTTTTAATTTCATTACTACACATTTTATGACATACTACACTTCTTTTTACGCCTTTATTGCTTAAATTTAATGGTTGTACTTTTTTTATATGTACATAAACCAAGGCACGCAAGCCCAACAGCTTTGCTTAGATACACAAATGTATCTAAACATGTTTCGCAAGACACGCATATGCAGATAGAAATTACGTGCCTAACATGGCTTATTTACATTTACGCACTTAAAAGGATCAATGTGCAAATACATTACGGTGGTCCAAGAAGAGTAAAGTCGGAATTTTTTTAATCAAAAAATAAGCGCTCAAAGTTTTCTCTGATTTTATATGGGAAAAAACCACTTTTCGTAGAAATGGTATAGAATTTTTGAAGATCAATATTTTTCGATCGGAAAACTCAGATTCCCTTCAGAAGACTTTCAATAGTAATACCTAGTTGTTTATTTAAAAATTTTTTAATACTAACGATTTTTTATTGGTTCTCCCATTGCATTTTCGGTGTTTTTGGTGGACCTATAAATTATAGTTGCTATGAAAAAATGGTTAAATAAATTGGGTGTTATTATTGGAAACCTCCTGCAGAGAAACATAGTTTTCCGATCGAAAAATATTGATTTTTTAGAATTCTGACTCTACTTTTTCCCCACATACATTTTACACCACCCTAACGTACATACTTATATATACTTAAGCGATGTGGTGAGTATATATAGAGCATAAATTGCAACGCGTATACTTCAAGGATAACAACAAAAAACTTTTACAACAAAAACACCATTAATGTTGGCAGTCCCTACAAAAATAACAACAGTGATTGCTTTGATGAATTTTAGTGGCACATCAAATTTAGGAAGAAAAAAAAGAATCATGTGATTTTTCGGTGTTGTTATTTGATGAGCAATCTGTAGTAGGCAAAACTTACACCCGATTTACATGATTCAAGTACTTGAAAGCAATTCTTGCTCATACTCCTTTGTGTTTTCTATTTGCTTTTACACTTTTCAATTCTGTTGAATTCAAGTTTTTGGTTCTTTAAATAGGAAGCAACGAAAATGCTAAAAGCAAAGCAAGAAAGTTGAAACGACTTGACGGTACAGACGCATGTGTACTCGTCCCTTTTCTTCTCACCCCCTCTCTTCCACATGCGAGCAGAATTGAATTCAATACTTGAATTGTGTAAAAGCAGTCTTATAAGCAATTAGATTATGACTAAACAGAGAGAGAGAGGAGGAAATACGTGAGTGCGAATGGCTTGAGATGCTGGCCGTATGAAAATCAACCGGGAATTCTATCAATAACTTAGGCAGCTAACGGAAGATTCTAGCGGAACACTACTGAATGATAACAGCACTTAATACAGTGACAAACTGAACCGCAGCACTAGCCAAAGATGACGGATGTTTCACCACCCGACTAAGCCACTCAAAGTGGCAAGGAATTGACAATGTGCATGGATCATTCGTACTTGGGCAGCATCTAAAAAACAAACAAAATGATCGAATTTACTTGCCAGGGAGGTTAGCCAAAATGTTGAACATTCGAAAGGCCAGCAGAAAGCAGGTGCTACCGATGGTTATGGTTTGGATCGCTATGTATAACGGTTGAAGAACGCGCTCTGATCGTAATTTTGGACCATGAAGCAAAATTAGTTGCACAAATATATCGGAAAACAATTTTAGCGGCAGTTCCAAAGCTCTGAGCAGACAAACATTTCGGTCGCAAACCTTAGACATTGCAACAGTACTCAGCACCGTCACTCAAAGCGCAAGCGTCAATCAAAAATGGCACAAAACAACGTTCGTTTTGTGTCCTGGGGTATTTTGAAGAGTAAAAGAAAAGTAAGATAAAAGAAGAAAAGAGCGCTTCTCTGGGAGTGGGCCAAAATACCGCAGAGCCGCTTGTTGGTAGCGTGGTATCATCGCACAGTGGTTCAAAACCGGAATTTAATGTTCATAATTCACTGTTTATTATTAAAAATCAACGCAAACTCTTAGCCACTTGAAATTTGCACTTTATTATACTAAAATTAGATTTTTTCTAAAAACTAAAAAATTTAATTTTGGTGAAACATTTTTTTAGAACATTTCAAATTTTTTGGAATTTTTTTATTTAATACAAGGAAACGAAAATTCAAAGATCAGGCTCAACTGGTCTCTGGAAAATTTTATATGATTTAATTTGAAACAAAAATTAATCAAATGAGTAAAAAATTAACGCTCCTGTGAATTAGGAGCAGTAAATGGCTATTTTGAACCACTGTGCATCGGTCGTTTGGAGGCCACAATTCAGGCCAAGGATGGCGCTTTTTTGATTCAATAAAGGTTATTCCTAACCCTCAAAGCATAATCTACGCCTGCGAGAGTATTTCTGCCTCGAAAAGGCTTATCGTAAAATCCATTTGCCATTGGAAGACGTCGTACAACTGTAGGTCCCTCCCTACTTTGTAACAAAAGCAAGACGTTCAACACAAATTGAAGCAGAAGCTCGGCCTAACACTTAGCAAAAGTGTAAGCGGCCTCTGTGTTCAAACTTGTCCCAGAAACGCATTTACATGCACAGTTGGCTTAAGAGGATTTTAGATGAGTTCAATGACTGTTTTATAACCATTTGAATTAAGCTTTGAATCTATTTGAAACTTCCAAATTTCAAAAAAAAAGGCGAATAGGAAAGTGCCGAAAAATCTATTCCCAATTTAATAAATTAAAAAACTGAGGTCATTTGATTCGGCTTATTGTGACTAAAAGTATTAAAGCAAAGTATTAAAGGAATTAAAATCCAAAGGACATCAACTCAATTTATAATTGTTGATATTAAAATTAAAAGAGTATTCACCTACATATCGATTGCTAAACCTAACTCGGCAGCCAGTTCGAAAACGCCCTATTTCAAAAATTTTATAAAAATTTTGATTATAAAGCTCAACATTTTTGTGAAAATTTTTTGAATGTTTCTAAATTCTGTATAAAATTTTAAAGGTTGATATCCTTGGTTTTGGTTAAAGCATGAACCATATTTAGATCATATAAAAAAATAACAAAACCGTTTTGTCTTTAAAACATTGTAAATGTTAAAAACGTAGCACTAATCATCCAGTCTTGGCCGCCAGTGTATGTGCGTATAGAGAAAATATAAGTATGTATGTTTACAGAAAATATGCATAAAATAAAGGTCCTCTCTTGGCTTTCTAACTTTATTCAAGTGAAGAACGAGTTCCCTGCTTTTTAGTTAGTCAAGTTTAAGAGAGGCCTTTAAAAGTTGAAAATTCAGAAAAACCATGTTTCGGCGCACAAGAATGTGTATTTTATTTTAAGTAAATTAAAAATTTGTTATGCTAAATATTTTAAGCAAAACTCCATTCGCCAAATATCTTAATTTTTTTTTCGAATGTGTATTTTATTTTAAAAAATTAAAAATTGTATGCTAGAAATTTTAAGCAAAACTCCATTCTCCAAATATCTTAATCTTTTACGCTATATAAATTGAGCGTGCGAGAAATACTATAAGAAAATGTGCCAAAGCAGACGATTTTTACCATAAAAGTGCGTCAGAAATAGAAATTTTGGTCAAAACACTATAACAACAACCAATTCCAAGTTTTTATATACAATCTTTATAAGTGAATGTAAAAGTAAAAACGATCAACTTTTTTATTGCAGAAAATTATTACTTTATAAGGAAAAGAATTTTATACACAGCTCTATAAAAATTATGCGAAATTATTTGATATTAACTCAAGTTATAATTATTTAGTTAACATACAAATTTATGAATTTATTCATTTATTCATTTTCTAATACCACAAATTTCTTCTTTAAATTTCAAATCTCTCGCAAAATTCAACTTTTAATTTAGTGTTAATTTATTAAATTTTTCCATATCCATAAAATGTGTTCATGAAAAATTTTAGCTAAGTACGTTTCAATTATAACAACAGATGCATTTCGAATTTACCAGCTCAATGATTTTCAGCAACAGACGATTGTTGAACTCCATTTTATTTGTTTAATTATGTATTTGCACAAAAGGCTGTCTGAAAATATTTTGTTTGTTTTTTGTATGTTTTTTTTTTTTGTGGTATATAAATATATTTTACAAGCAACTGCACTTGTTTACACGCCTGCTTATTTTATGTATCTATGTACATACAAATATTTATTTTATTTTTTGCAACTTCTTTTCATCCACTGCACAAACAACCGTTTCTCCGACTAGCTCCGCTTTGTTGCTGCTGGCGCGATAATTCAGTTCGTACTGATTCTGAAATTCGAGTGCGCTACTAATTTTAGTCGCGTTGTTTGTTGTTCGGATGATTGGTGGAGGAACTCACTTCACCTGTTTCACCATTTGGCGGGCTACATACATTGTTGATATTGAACAATGTCGCTCATATCAAAATTCATTCCTTCTTTTGTTTCTTATTATGTTGCCTAAAGCTCTAGCAACATCTTGCTGGAAGGTTGTCTTACTTGTGTTATTACTGAACCGTCCCTCTAGGAACTTGGATGCAAAATGGAAAAAAATTGGAACATAAATTGAGAATGAGATAGTAAACAAGAATTTCAAAAAAAAAATAAATAAAAGTAAGAAGCGAACAAATAGTGCGAAATAGTGGCGTAAATGTACATAGATAGAATTGTGCCTACTCTTCCGCTAGTATTTTACAAGCAAACAATTTTAGGTACATTAGGGCGGGCGTAGCCAAATAACAAACTCTCTCTTCGTCGATTTGACTGTATTCACGCATTCTCTGACGTCATACAATACCTTTTCGTACTAGGCATGAAAATTAAAATTTAAAATTGTACCTGTTTGCGCAAAAAATTTGACCTAAAAGTAGATGTATGTACCCCAAAAAAAAAAATGAAATATGAACCGCTTCTTTTGCTGCCCTATCTACTTTTTGGCTCACATCAAACTATCTTCGCTATTAAAAATGGTCTTGAAAGGAATCTCCCTGAGCGGTTCAATTTAACCTATGTTTATACCCCTTCACAAAACGGGGAGGCTATTGGACAAGTTTCCGCACTAGAAATAAAATGGAAACAACCCTTATTGCTTCTCGTGGAAACTCCCGAAAGAACAAATTTCAAACTAAAAAAAAAAAGGTAGAATTGCAGTGGTGAGTCGGAGTTGAAGTGACGAACACTCATTGTATGAAGTTAAATAAGATCCCTGAAGTCTTATTTTTATTTCATGAGTTCTTTGTGTTTTTAAGAACTTTAACATTTAATGCAATGAAAAACTAAAATATAAAAATCTATAGACATGTGGTAGGGCAGACTTGGATCAACCTAATACGACCCTGAATCCAAGGATGCTAGCTTACTTAAAAATTCAGCTCTCAAATAGAAATAACGGACATAGAAAGGGACAGTTATTTTCTAGAAGTAAGCACATCTTAATTACGATATTGCCAAATATCTGTTTAAAATAAATAACTTTTGTGCTACTTAGTTTATTGAATTTATATATATTAAATATTTATGGCCTTATTCACAAAAAATATAGTAGATCTTAAGATCTTATAAAGCAGTTAAAGCCTTCATAATTTTTTATGAATTTGTGTGTTAGTCTATAACCACTTTCGTTTATACCGCTAAGGACTAGTGTTTAATCAGCATCCTACATACATATGTATGTACTGTTATCATTTGAATAATTGAAAAAGTTTATATACCTAAAATAAAGTATTCTTTATTTAATTAAAGCTCTCTGGAATATCTCCTTTGGAATGTTAATCCAAAAAAAAAGCTTTGTGGAAAGATACCGCATGCATTTTACATCTAGCTTTGTGGAATATTTCCCTAGAGTTTCTTCATTCACCGAGAATGAATACATTCTCACAATTACATCGCCTATTAAAAAGAAAGCGATTGTGCAACAAAGTAGAATTTTCGTTTCATTCTGCGGAATGTTCGAATTTCCTAAGGGGCTTTGCTGCGTACGCATATGTATACAAGTACATTTTGTTAGTATGGGGCACAGTGGGGCCGTAATCGGTTATACTGGCTTAAAACAGTGACTCGCAGAGAGAGCTTTTACAATGTGTGTGTTCATATAAAATCAATAAAAAGCTTCAGAAAGTTTCTCCCGTTTATAAGTTTTGGTCGTGCCTGGTCAGAAATCTGAACGAACAGTTAATTGAATCTCCGCTCTGTTGGCGGACAGGCAATGTCCATCACCGATGCAGCTAGATGAAAAAACGAATCGAAAGTTCTACAGAAGAGCTTCAAAAATAACTAAAAGAAAGCAGATCCTTTTCTTAAAGGCAGCCTATTGGGGACTGAAGGGATTACTTACCTCTAAAGCTTATTTAGCGGCACAATCTGTCTCGGCAATGTTGGACCAAAGAAAAACTTGAGTTTGATTTGTCGGCTCGAATGAGCGTGAGAAAAGGTAAGTATGTACATATGTATGTGTGTGGGGATTATTTTAGGCTAGTGGGAATATAACGTAATATAATATCACAAATGGAGTTGGGTGGAGATAACGTGGGTTGCACGAGGCAGCACGAGCGTTGGTTTTCGATGAAGCCAGTCATGGGGAGAGAGTTGTTGAGGGTGCTGATTGTCTATCGGGATATGCTTTTCATACCAGTTTTTAGTCCTCCAGATCGGGAGCATTAAGGCATATTGCAAAGATGATATTCTGTCTGCAACGGAGTGCAAGTCAGAAGCTTCGTCTGCAGCGTTTCATTAATCCGAAGTATCCACACAAGCGTAATTTAATTCAGGATTGGCCGGCCAATGGCATTGTATGTTGCCGACAGAGTTTTTTATGGCATCCATAGAGAAACTTAACTGCAATCTTTCGTGAAGGTAGATGTGGCGAGTTGGTATGGTGGAACATAATTGATGATCAGATCAGATCAGAGAGCTGTCGTCTACGAGTGATAGATATGTATGTATGTGTAGCAAACCTGTAAATGAAACCATTAAAAGTATGTTCACAAAATCATTAGTCTTTTTGAAGCTTTTCCACCTGGTTGGCAAGGTTTGGGATCGATATAATACGTACGCTCTTTTATCTCGATTTCTGAGAACAGTCATACAGTTGGCCTGGTTGAAAGATTTTGGTATGATTCTCAAGTGATTTTGAACCGGCCGTTCCACAACTCGCAGAATACCACAAATCATCGGAATCATCTTGAACAGGAAACTTTCCTGCAAACTTAACTCCAAAGGAAGAGCCAGCAAAGCATAGACTATTGGATATATGTACTCCATAGCACTGGATATACTCAGCAGTGCTTCACGCTACTATGCTCTACGGCGTCACAGTTTGGTGCACATCATTCGAGAAATTTAGTATTAGAGAAAGATTTAATAAGGTACAGAGAGTGGAAGGTATGCTAACAACTGCGGTGGCATCCTCTACGCCGTTTTTCGACTGCCAAACTACTGCTACGTGTTCCAAGATGAAGTTACAGCTATTAAGGAGGCTGTACGGTGACTGACCACGTACCTGCTTATCGATTGTAAACTCTTCTCACGAAGCGGGTGTAGCGCTGACATCGCACAAGCTCTGGCCTAGAACGAACTTCTTCGAATTAACTAATAAAAGAGGGGATCTTAAATCCACTTACAGAGCACGATAAATCCGTTTCAGGCTTGTGAATAACAGAATCCACTCTCTTCTGTAATTGGAATGCTCCCAAGTCCGGCTAGTAGCACGGATCATTACAAGCCACTGTCATAGATCTATATCTGCCCAAGGACTGCCACTCCAGCTGAGTCCCCATGATGTTGCAACAATAACAACCACGGGCCTGCTTAGGCCTAAGTGTGCCTCCATCCAAGACTTGAATAAACACAGCTATCAAAACCAACCAAACCTAACCTATTTTATTAATGAAACAATTTTACTCATTTAATTCGAAACACAAAATTTTTTTACTTAAGCACTGTTGTTTGAAGACAAACGCCATAGGCCGATGTTGCGCAACTTTTTATTGCGTATTCCATTTATGTACACACTTATGAAGTCATAGCTTTCGCCATCAATAGAAGCTTAACAAAGCCGAGTGTGTCGGTAAAAAAAAAAAACTGACGTCATCCTCTTGGAATATGTTATATAGAAGCACAAACAAAAAATAAATATCGGTGTGTATACCTTTATGCTGACCATCACAAAATGACAAACGCCAGGTAAAAATGCTTGAATAATAAGTAATAGCCCAAGCTGCAAGCATTCTAACTTCAGGTCTTCGCACATGGCGCGTTTTGCACAAAAAAAAATCGCCATAGCTGATGAAAAAACATCTGCCTTCTGTCTGGCTTCTAACCAGATATAACATATCCATACATACACATATATGTGTACATTAGGGTGGTCAAAAAACAAAATAAAATGGTCCCATACTAATCTAGTTTAGATCCGATCATTGGATCATGAAATATATATACGTATATATATTTTTACATGAGAATTGAAGTCGGTTTTGTTTTTTGCTTAAAAATTACTTGTTTCAAAATCAAAAAGTATTTAGGGGTCGCTCAAAGCGCTGACAGTTTTCCATACTATATATTAAATTTTTCATTGAAATTATACGGAATTCTTGAAAATCAATATTTTTCGATCGGAAACCCTTTTTTTCTATTCTTGCAATAATATTACCCAGTAGTTTATTTTACCATTTTTTAAATACTAAAGATTATTTATGGGTCCCCCATTGCATATCTAGGGTTTGCGGGGGATCTATAAAAAATAATTAATATAAAAAATAGTTAATGTAAAAAATAGTTAAATAAACAATTGGGTATTATATTGGAAGTCTTCTGAAGAGAAACAAAGTTTTTCCATCGAAAAATATTGATTTTCAAGATTTAAAGATTTCAACGAAAAATTGTTTTTTTTTCACATATAAAATATATGGAAAACTTTGAGCGCTTTGAGAGACCTCTAAATATTTTTTGATTTCAAAAAAAAAAACAGTGGTATATTTTTCTCTGTATATAACAATTCTAGGAGGTGAGCGAATTTAAATTCCAGCTTTACCTATTTTGGACCACCCTAATGTACATACAAATACGTACTAATGTACATACATAAGAAGAAATTAGTACATAACAGAACATCAAAAAAAGGAATCATTTACTGGCACAAAAATGGATTTTTAGTTTTTTTTTTATAAAATTAATGAGCTAAAATAAAAATAAAATAATAATAAAAAATGCATTTTTTTTTTGTTTTTAAAAAACTCTGTAAAATTCTGGTAATTCCGGAAACTCCTCATTATCGTCATACCCCTCTTCTTCCAGTGTTTCCCTCTTATTTGTCACGAAAGGTAAATATCGCATCGAAACCAAACAGAACGCCATTGACAATGGCTAGTGAGGCCTTAATAAGCGCCAAATCGCGTGTACGTGTACGAAATGAAAATTCCCAAGCCTCGATTATGAACACACCCGAGGCGATGAAGAGGCCACAGCCTAGCACACTGTAGAATATGTCGATGCGTCTGTGAATGGGCGCACGCATTAGGACACCTGTTGATAAATTTAAATGTAAATTTTACTTAACTATTTGGTTTTTTTTCTTTTATTTTTATTTTTTTTTGTTGCATGCAGTTAGTGGTTCATTGTCAAGTTTGTATTACTACTTTACTTGGCATGCAAAATTACCACGTACACACCTGCAAAAATACCCACAACAACAATTATGTATCCTGAAAATGTGCCCGTCGCCACGAATGAGGTCAGTATGTCACGGTCGTCGAAGCTATAGAAATGCAATGCCAGGCAGGCAGCGGAAAAGCCCTAAAAGAAATGGGTCATACGTGTAGTGTGAGTACTTTGTTTAATTAATGTTGCTTTGTGTATTTAAGCTTGAATAATAGTGGACTTGTTGTCCTTAGATATATGTGCATTAGGGTGGTCCTTAAAAAATCAAACGAACGGTTTTTTTCAATCTCACCGCCTCAATCGGTAATGCCACGGACACAGATACCACTTATAAATTGTTGGTCCCGATTGGCGACGGTTAAGGCGTGTCGCACAGGGGGCAAAGTACAATACTCAAAATCGATACTACGATAGTCGAAGATGTCACATATAAATTTTGGTCCCGGTTGGAGTCGGTTAAGACGCCTTCATAGGGTAAACTAAACTTTGCCCCCTGTGCGACACGCCTTAACCATCTTCAATCGGTACCGAAATTTACATGTGATATCTTCGACTATAGTGGCATAGACGTAGGGGTTGAGGCTTAGGAAATCTGACATAAAAATGTGCTTCCTACATTTAACGACCACCCTAATGTACATACATATCTGGTTTCACTCTTAATTAAATGAAGGAGTGTTTTGTGGGTTCGGCAATGATGGGATTGTGAAATAGTCAAAATTTTCTTGATTAAGTGATTGTATACGAGAATAATGGTTGTGTTCATACAAAATAAAGAATACTTTAAATGCTTTATAAATCGAACGTTCTTTTGAAAATATCACTTTATAAGACTTTATTTTTTTATGAATAAGGCCATTAGTAATTAGGACTATTCAAGTACATCAGGATCTTTTGGGGAGCAAATTTACATGCGCAGGTTAGGTTAGGTTGAAGTGGCTGTTGAGCTTAGAGGAAGCCAGCACACCTAGGTCAAGTCAGCGGCTCATTGTGACATCTCATGTCAAAACCCTTTTTCCTTAAACCAGTTCACTGGTTTATTTTGGTTGACCCTGAGGCGTTCTGATGTTTTCCTATCAAGATACATATATCCCATGAGCAAGCCAGCGCCCAATGCCTGGTCTTAATGGGGCTTAAATTAGCGGAACATAAAACAGAGGTGGTTCTATTAACAGGAAGAAAACCTCGCGAGGCACTCACGTTAACCTTAAAGTATTTAGGAGTCATTATTATTCACCTACATACATATCGACTGCCGAGTGGAAGATCGACCTATCTCGGCAGCCAGTGCGAAAACGCCCTATCTCAAAAAACTTTTCAAAAACGTCCTATTTCAGAATTCATTTCAAAATGCCCTATCTCAGCTGCTGATTCAAAAACGCCCTAAATCATCAAATTTTCAGTACATTTCGAAGTGAGATAGGGCATTTTTGAATCGTATTCTGAAATAGGGCGTTCTTCATCCAAATTCTGAGATAGTTTTTTTCCATAAAATTCTGAAATAGGGCGTTCATGAAAACTTTTTTGAGATAGGGCGTTTTCGAACTGGCTGCCGAGATAGGTCGATCTTCCACTCAGCAGTCGATATAAAGGCCATGAGGAATATGTTGTGGAAAAAGCGAGTAAGGTATGTACATATATGGCGCCCTCACTAAAATAATGTTAAATACCAGTGATCGATAGCAAAATGCGAAGCAATCACTAGCCGGTATCCTGAAGTCGGTAACACTTTATGGTTAGGTTATGCGCTTTGAGAGTATGCTACGCATACCGCACAGCAGCCGAGGACACAGAACTAGTACTCCCCGGACTACCATTTGTTGCATTCAAATTTTGCAAAATTTGCCACCTTGCGACACAGCTGATTACTTTTGTATGAAATCTTTCGTGTGGCAAAATTGCAATCATTTCAAAGTCAAAGTCGGGAAACACATGTATTTTTATTGTCCGTGAATACTTCAACAAAAAGTAGTTAAATTTTTTTCGAAATATTGTTTTTTTTTATCAGAAATGAGAAAACAATAACATACACAGACTTCTTTGGCGATTTTAGTAAAAAAATTCTCTCAAAAGAGTAATTAAGGGTTGCAAAATTTTTATGAAAAATTGCATCAACTTAGTAATTCCAATTTTTGGACTTTTTATTGTAGTACTTAAGTATTAGCCATAATTTTATATAGAGTTATTTTCAAGAGGCTTCCCTGAGGAGCCCTGTAGTCGGATAGTCGGAGGAGAAAGAGAGGCAGGCCATTGAATGCATTGGTCTTTGCTCTCTCTTGTTAGAAAGGTGTGAGGTGGCAAGCCCCATAATATTTTTTGTACCAGCCTCCAATTCAAATTTCTTTAAAATTTTATAGATTTTCTGGGGCAAACCCTAAATCGATATGCATCAATTGAGGAAAATCGAATGTCGATTGTCGAATTTTTTTAATCGATTCACGGATCAATTCGGAACTAAAAACTCTACAAAATATTGAGGCGTTTTCTTTTTTTGTACGAATCGAAAATTTGAATTTTTTTATATATATATCTTTTATAGGAAAATTTCGTGATGTTCGATTCGTACGAAAACAAGAGTATGCTTAATTGAATCGGAAAGTCTCGATAAATCGGTCTTCGATTTAACCTATTTCGCCATCTCTAGTTTGACATACATATGTAGCTTCATAGGTACATTTGTTCTTATCCGCTGACATGGAACTTCCACTACGGGCCAACTGACCTGCTTTATTGGTTAAAAGTATAATTTTTCAAAATTTTTTTGGAAAATTATTTATGTAATTTAATTCTGTGATATTCACCACCTATTTTATAGGTTATGTACGACTAGTTTTTTATTTTAAAAATATTTTTGATTTAAAACTTGATGTCAAAATTTAAAAAATAAAATGAACAAATGTCGGAATAAATTCAAAGAAAAGTTTGGATTTTCAAGAAAATTACGAATAGCGGTTTTTGATGTCGCTGATTGAACTTGGTACAGAAATTTCTTAAAAAATGGCGAATCCAATAGGCGGATTAAAATTAAAAAAAAAAAATCTTGACTTTCGTCATTTCGAATGTAATTACAAAATGGGGTCAAGTGCGTTTTGCCCTTCCCGTTTTACAACGCTTTTTAATATTTCAATTTATTTTTGCTTTATTTTATTCCGTTTTAAGCTTTTTATTTCAAGGACACTGTTCAAGCACAAAAGTTCATAGTCGTTATTGTTGATCATCGACAAAGTCACATTCGGAATGTTTTATGTGGGAGTTTCCCAGCCTCTCACGTATAAATTTTTCATATTTCTTAATACTTTTGGTTTTCAAAATTTCGATAGGATATCTGGTATTGGGGACATCAAAAACCCCCAGTATTAATTTCTCTCGATTGGACCCGCTATTTTTTCAATAATTAATTCGGAATCAGCGGATATACCAATTTATATATGTTCACGAAAAGCAAACTTTTTTAAATTTAGTTCGCCATATTGAATTTCCATTTTGTTTTTTTGTTTACTTTAATATAAAATTCGCAATCAGCGGCATCAAAAACAATAAAGGTAAGTATCACGAAATTGTTTTCTGTTTTATATTTTGGCAACGAAAGCAAGCCCCCGGGCCCAGTGTGTACTCTTAATTTTTTTAGCGTTTTTTTTTTTAATAATCATCAACACAACACGTATTTGGAATGAGGTACGACGCCCTTTTATTTTTCATTAATATATTACCAATTCCATAAATTTTACAGCACTCAAACGAGCTTTCCGTTCATTGTGTGACATTTTAATTATTATTAGTCAATGGTCCAACGCTGTGAGCTTCAAACACAAGCTAGTTTTCTAAAAAAAAAAAAACTAAAATTTTCCAATCGAGTAGTTCACATATCCTTTCACGCGAATTCAAATAAACCGATCTCGATGAAAGCCGAAACGAGCGTATCCAATGTTAAATGTGAACTGAGCAGATTCAAAGCATCAAAAATAGTTTCCCAGATTCTACTTTGGCGTTACACATATGTATGTAACTAATCGACAGATTGGCAAATTACAATTGGAAATGTATGGAATTATGCTCGACCTATGCCATTCCATTCATTTATGTAGCAAATTCTGCACTTTACATGGCACCAACAAACCACAACACAACTATCGTTTTTAATGTTTACAACGACAATAATGAACAAATAAAATATGAACGAAGAAACCAGAGTAGCGAATGAACCAATATGATGATGCATAGTGGCCAAAATTAATTAATTACACTTTAGGAAGGAAATACGCTTTTCATATGAGTGCATCAGAGTGCAGCGTTGTGGCCGACCGCCCGGAGATTTCGTTGGAATGGGCGGAGTGGATGTGAAGGGCAAAATAAAGGGAGAAAAAATACCAGCAGACGCAAAGCAGATCAACCAAAAAAACAAAGCACTTGAAATGATCAGCAAAAATTCTGGAATGGAATAAGTGAAGCAAGGTGCCACTGTATAGTTTACTATATACATACAAACATATGCGCATATGTACCTCCATGCAAGCATACTATAAGCAGAAACAGACTGAGCGTCTGGACCAGACAAACACAACAACAACGAAAATAAAACCAATCTGATAAAGACCATGCTTTGGAAATTTTTTCACCGCACAAAATTGTTTTATGATTAACTTTGAATGATGCGCATGAAACGATTTAAAAATTAGCGAAAGAAAAATGGGACGCTTGATTTTTGAATGATCAGCCGCTTGGCTAATGATGACTCCTCGTTTCTAATTCCATTAGATGGCCATAGTTTTCATCCATGTGTGGCACAGTTGTTTTGTTGCTGCTATGTTGCATTGCAATTGGCAACACGTTTCCATTTAGTTTATACAAATGACTTTGCGTACTTTAGGAATTCTCGCTAAACACATGGCTTACATACGAATGAGCTAATTTATTGTTCTATAATTTGTTTGCGTAACGCAAATGAAGTGATTCAACATGCAATGCAAATAAAAAGATTGCATGGAGAACTTTATTACATTTGTAAATAGTATGTATGTACATATGTATGTATGTAAGCTAGTGAGTATGTGAATGATGAAATGAGTCAGTTATTTAGTCAATTTATGGGTTTGTGAACTACTTTAAGCAAATTATGACGATTATGTGGGCTCACCGTGCAAGATGAAAATTAACTCATGAACAGGAAATGAGGGCACTCAGGAGGCAATGATTAACTGTTTCCCACAGGTTGCCTTTATGCATGCGTGTACATGTCACTTAAGTAATGAAACGAAAATTTAATTATGTAGTTACTTAGTTAGTTATTTAGTTAGTTAGTATTGGTGTAGCAGAACAAGAGACATTGCGAGCGGAATGATCAGTGCGCCCAAGATAGCTGTGGCTTCCGTAATTAATCCTAAAAAGATTTTACTTATTTATTAACGGCCCTAAAGGTTATTCAATGTCCGATTAACACAAATCGGAGGTAAAAGCTCCGGTTAAGTACAACGACTGCTTTATCGATCACATGCTATATGCATGATGTCGAAAACGTCGATAATGATATACTGGTGGAAACCAGACATTGAACAACCCGCCCTTAAAGTGGATTAATATTTCACCGTCCAAGATCTATCATATTCAAAAGACATAGCCGGCATTCTAAAAGCCTGATTATGGCAACTTAAATTAACTTAACAGAATGTAGAACTTAGAAAATCAAAATGAAACAGATTCGACGTGGCATTAAGTTACGTTAAGTTTCGGCTGTTCAATTATAAGCAACATCCATTTAAGAGAATGTTTAAGTGAGAGCCTGTAAGTGACGTTAAGTTGCCATAATAAGACCATGAGACTGCAACTGAAATATCTAAGTATTTTATCTATATCTATATACATATATAATACGCGAAGGCATTTTTTGTGCAGCATAAAAGATCTGCACTGTTCGTTCGATTTTCAAAAATGGGGTGTCATCTGCGTCATATACCAGCACGTTCATGATGAGGCACTTATAGAGTGTGGTTTACGTACGTCGATAGAGAGGTCTTTACTTCTGAATTGCCTATTCAGTCCAAAGTGGCATTTGTTGGCCAGCGTGATTCTTCATTGGATTTGTTAGTGAGTTATCGGTATTAAAACTTACTTTTTCGTATATGTTGCCTGATGATATCGATATCATCGGCATACGACAGCAATTGTTCGCTCTTGTTAGAAAATTTTCCTAAGCTCTGCGGCTCTTATTAAATATCTCCTCCAAAATAAGATTAAAGAAAAATAAGTACGTCGTCTCTTTGTATTAAATGGCTAGGAAAGGCACATAACCGTATTAGTTTCGCAGGGACACCAAATCCGATCATATCGGCTTATAGGCAGCTCCTTTTCGTGCTGCTTTAAAATCGACAATCCGTGCGTTTCACAAAATATGTTTCATAGCATCTTGTACGCCATATTAAGAAGGCTGTTCCCCGGTAGTTTGCGCATATTATATGGTCGCCTTTCTTGTGGGCTAGCCAGAGCATAATTAAATTCTTACCGGCAGTCAAGCGTACGTCCAACCATATTTTGCATAAGCCTACGTTTACGACCCAGCTTTTCGCTTTATAGCTCCTTATCAGCACCATGCCGCCGTAGTTAAATAGCTGGAAGGCCGTCAGCTTCAGCAGCTTTATTATTTCTCAGCCAAGAAATTTCTTTTCGTACTTTGTTGAAGTGAGGCAACACATCGTCAATCTTTAGTTGTTGGTGATGGGGCATGATGGTGTTCAGAGAATTAAGGATGTACATGAGGAAAACGCCCAAGCAGCAGCACATCGGGAACACAGTCCAAGCAGCGTTCACATGGCCATTGCCCGATAAGCAAAGAACACAGGCTTGCTGAGGCTTTTTAATTATGAACTCTAAGGATGCAAGATGGATAAGGAGCTCACATAGAAATTTTTGTAGAATACGTCATCCTTATCGAATGTCATGCACTCCGCTGTTTAAACTTGGCAAAGCATTGAGACGGTCCTGCATTACGATGGATCTCTGCGAGAGCGGACCCGTCAAATCACACCTGTACGTGATTTATTTCATACTTTGGACGTACTTATGTACGTTTGGTAAAACATTAGATCAAATTTAATATTTGTGAATGGAAGGGAAATATAAAATTCAAATAAAGTTACATCTATACTTATTAGCCTCCTTCTATTGCAATGGAGAACCACGATAACCCCAGGTGGGATAACGAAATACATGCAGAACAACAACAAAAGCTCGGCTACTTATTCTAGTAAAGCCAGATCGTTTAAAAATAAGCGACAAGTGATTTAAAAATCTCTGACCAACATTTATTTACAGTCTCTGATTTAAATATACATATGAATGTATGTATGTATGTATGTACGCAAATGTGCTGGTGAAGTTAAGTTACTAACATTTTCTTTGTTGAATAGAAATATTTATATATTTGAAGATTTAAACTTTTTCAGTGTAAGAAACTTAAAGTTTTTAATCAGCTTGCGAAAGCTTTCCATTTGTAAAGCTTCTGCCGATATACATGCAAGTGGGCAATTAATTATACAAAGCAGCAACAAACATAAATACATACATATGTCTGCCTGTAGTATCCATGCGAATGCACTGAGAAGTATAAGAGAGAAGTAATACACATACTTGCTTATTTATGTATGTACATCCATATATATGTATGTATGAATATACAAAAGGGGGTTATAAATGAACAGGGTGTTTAAGGTTCTATAAAATGATTAAACAAATTATTAAAAAAATTAACTTCGTTTATAACTTTCTGCATTGATATATCGTCACCCTATCTCAGAAAACTTTTCAAGAACACCATATTTCGAAATTCGGTTCAAAAATGCCCTATCTCAGACGGTTCAAAATTGTTTTCCGAGATAGGGCGTTTCCAAACTGGCTGCCGAGATGGTCGATCTACCACTCAGGTGTCGATATATAATCAAATACGTATGCAGCTTTTAGCCTTATTATGTATCTCGAACGATTCGTCTGCAGAGGACAGCATTTTTATTACTCTATCGGTCGTCTTGCTTCACGTCGATTAGTTTACAATCGTCTCGGTTACATTTAAAACAGCTAAAATGATGCCGCCGGACTAATTTTTTAAGTATTTCTCTGCGGCCTATCGGTCGACATAGATAATAAGGCTGTATGTATGTGTAACTATGTAAAAACACTAGTTTTCCCGAAAAACTAACCTCTGAAAAAGAAAAATGTCTATGCTAACTTTGGGTCGCTGAAGATGAAAACAATACCCATTATTCCAAAGAATCGTTTACGAGATTTTTTCGAAAAAGTGTTTTTCTGGTACTTTCCGGTGTTATATGTCAATATCTCATGAAAAAATCCAATTGACGTGAACAACTACAGTTCGAAAGGTATTGATGTGCCCTTAATAAAAATGTATAGTTTGTATAGATTTAGATAAAAAGATTGTGTTACTTTATACAATTTTTTTTTGCAGTATTTTTTACTTTTATCTTTTATAAATCATTACAGTTAGTTCTGAGCTTAGGTTAGATTAGTGGGCAGCTCCATGCTTGAGGGACTCACCTAGATATTTAGGAGATTGTCCTTTGTGTGACATACAGGATCAGTTAATAAATAAGTCTGAGCTTAAAGTTATTAAAATCCGATGAGATATATACATACATAGAAATTGGAAATTCGTATTTTTCGCAAAATCACACTTTTGGTCGCAAATGAATTTTTTCGTTTGTGCTGGGTATTCTTCTCGAATTTTTGCCAGCAATTTTTACACAGTGCTCCATAACATCTACATTTCTCATTCTATTTTGATTATGTAGTTTAGGCTCAAAATTTTCTCTAATCTAATTTTAAAAATACTAAAAAACCTTATATTAAAAATAATCAATTAAAATTATCTTATTGCCTGTTTTGTATGAAACGGCTCGAAGAAGTTCTCTAAATAAATAAATTTTTGGTGGTGTTGCTAAATGTAATTTTTCTCGTACAAAGACTTATTAGTTTAACAGAAAACTCGGCGAATAAGCAATTCCTTTGCTTGGCATTAAAATGGACAAAGAGGTGGTGAGTTACGCTCCTCTTCTCGCGTGTCTTGGCGTTTGATGAATTCATAGTGTGGAGTGGTCTAAGGCTACATTGATAAGGTCCAATCAGTTGGCACCTACGAAAGGATCAACTTTCGTGTGAATTGGACAGAGAACACTTTAATTTCAATAGGCATACTAAGGAGTTGATGCATACGCCTTATCAACTTGTCGCCGCTGTTCTTGAATAGCCCACCTGGCAGCCTGTAAGCGCCAGCACATTTGTTATTTTTCGTCATCCTCGACTAAAGGCTCAGGTTCCTTTTCTCCAATAGTTTCAGTAAGTATAGTTCAGATATACGCCAATAAATGCTTGCCAGTTCAAAAGTATAAATTTTGGCTGCACCACTTTATACAACAACAAAACGAGATACACCCTGTATAAATGATTGAAAATGCTAAAATTTTAGTAGTAGGAAAACTTGCTTTTTCTCTCTACTGTACGGCATATGTGACGAAAAGTTTAACAGAAATCTGACATGCAACATCAGTGCAGTGACAAACGCAAAAAGCAACGGTTGGATAGCTTAAGTGCAGCTGTAAAAACGTGATTTATTTCTAAAGTGCAATTACTACGAATAAATTAGCAATTAATATTTCTTGAAACTTAAAAATATGGCGAAAATTGCTTTTGAGCTTCTCACACTCGAAAATGAAGTTTTAAGAGCATATCTCTTTTGGTCAGCGATTTTGGTGTTGAAAATGCTATTCATGTCGCTGTTGACAGGATTAATGCGTTTTAGGACACAGGTGCGTATGAGTGATATTTAATGAACGACGTACATACGTAGTACACACGACGTACATAAGTAGTAAAAAAAAACAATGTACATATGTATTTACCTACATATGTATGAATGTATGTATGTATGTAGTACAGAAGTTTAAATAATTGTAGCACCTGCAAGAAACTAAAAAAATTTTATAACACGAGTTAATAATATTGATAATAATAGTGAATTAGTTAGAGTTATGTTCAATTAGCAATAACTGTTTCCTTCAATGCAAATGTGCATTAATATTCAGTAAGCGCAATTCCAAGCAAAAAAAATGCATATACATACATACTTACATAAAAAAACGCATTCACTTATCTATTAAAGCTTTATACTTACTCGCTTATGCTTTCGGTATCTCCCTCTCTCCTTTACTCTCATACAATTTTTTTGTACCTATTGATTTTCTCTTGTCTTGCATTTAAAGCTTTTAGTATTGTTTTTTTCTCTACACAGTTGTCTCTAATTAACATACTAATCGGTCCTTTTTTCTAGAATTTAATCCGCAGCAAATATTTATGCGCTAATAATCGGTTATCTCAATAAAAAAAAATATACGTTGACAAGTAAATTTCCATTTAAACAATTATGCCATTTAGTTAAAGCACCATTTTACCGACCATTAATTGTAAAAATTTACATTCGTGACCAGTGTTGCCAGGCCGTTGAGGTGAGAAATCGTCTCTTGAATTTTAAAATCGACGACGTATAAAATCTTCAACTAAAGAGTCATGCCACATTTCTACTAGGCATTAGATGACACAATTTTAAATATCATGGTTGGCATTAAAAAATACCTGTGCCATTATGTATATTACGAAAAATTTACATTAAATTCGTTTCCACATGGCATTTTTTAAATGGCCCACACTTTTCGTCATTTTAAAGCCTTGTGAAAATGCGGCATAACAGGGAAGATTTGTTTCTTGTGATCGTTGTACAGCACAAGCAGGAATACTTATAACAGCCTCATGTAATTATCACAAACATAAATTTAGCTGAATCCCTGATTTTATGTTGAGTAAGTTTAACACAGTTTCATTTTTTGTAGCACAGACTATTTCTCTGAATTAACATTAAAAATAATTAAAATCTTTGTACTTACCTTTAATTTTCAAAACTCATAAGTTGAGTGGTATTTTAGCAAAACTAAAAAAAAACACTTATACTCTTAAAGGGTCCTGCAAGATTCCGTCAAGGGGAAAACTTTATAGGGGTAAAGGGGGGAATGCAAAGTCTTTGCAGCCTAATAATTTTTTAATTATTTCTTAACGAAGCTTTTAAAATCAACCAGCTTTTAAAAGGGGTACTTTCAAGATTTTCACTGAAAATACAACCGACTTCAATAATCATAGATATATAAATTTAGGAGCGACGTTAATTTCTGCAGGATCGCAACCAAATTAGTATGGAGCCACCCTTGAGGTACCACCTTTAGCTTACTATCCAGCTCTCAAGAAAGGCAAAAGTACGGACCGCAAGGCAACCCATGTTTACAGCAGAAATATATGCGCGTTCCATTTTTTCGTGAGGAAAAAGTGAGTCATCAGGCTGTAAATTAAAAGTTGTCAAAATTTCTTGGACACTTCTATTCATACACCCGAACTAATGCAAATTTATTCTTGACCGTTTTCTTAAGAGCTGGATACTTAGCTTATCAGATAAAAAAATATCGAAAACGGTTCGCGTGGTCCAAAGTTATCCGGTAACATACATAAAAATATCCTTTCTCCTTTGCTTGAAGTCGGCTGAAAATATACCTACACATAAATTCCGCATGTGTGTTAACTCTCCACTGAGAAAACTGCACTTAGAAAGAGATATTCCCGTTTCACCTGAAGCCGATCTCTTCAGGAGTTAAGCTGGCGAACAGTAACATTTCATTCTTATTTAGAACCGGTTAATCGTTTTCAAAAAAAAAAACTTACGTAAACGTTTTTGCAGAAGCAAACATTTTCAAATGGAGAACAAATCGTAGTTTGGTCTTCGATATCATCAAACTCTCATTAGTGCCGAAACTGACGATGAAATGATTAACCTGGCAACACCGTTTGTGACGTCATTTAGATTCGCGCCTCTCTCATACTCTAGGTGCACTCAGATGTACACGTACATATGTAGATACATATATACACATGTAAACCCTCTCGTGCCATATATAGATAACCCCAGAGCGTGCATACAGACGGGAATATTTTCAAAGCAGGTGGCAGACCGGCCGGCCGGCAAGTAATAATCAAAAAAAAATACATACAGTCAGTCAATAAAGTTTAGGTATAGCGAATTTTTTGCAATATGGGCAACTATTTTTTAAAAATTTTATTTTTCGCTAATTTTGTATAAAAATATGGTTAATTCTACAACAACAAACCCCAAAAATCAATGCAGCTTTTTAGCCCATTCAATTTTAGTATAATAAAGTGCAAGTTTGAGGTAGCTAGGACCAAAATGCATTCAACAAAGTGTGATTGAATTTGACATTGCTCTCAGAAGAACCATCCTATAAAGTGAAACTGAAAAAATTTTGTATGAATTTTGAATCGATTGCTTATATTTTTTGGCATAATAGTACCTTAAAAGAGACCCTACCTGAGTTGTCAATCTCACCTTGTTTAATACACCTTGGCTAGAACTGACTTATCATTAATTTTTGGCAATTTTTTTTTTTGTTGAAGGTTTCTCTATATAAGATAATTTTCGATATTTTTTTATATAACATCAAGCTGTTTCGCAAGCAATCGATCCACATCCATAGTGCAAACCAACGGCCTCTGTACAGGAATTTTAGTATGCATCGCTTGTTGGAATCATATTTTTGGCGTCTTTCAACTTTTTTGTGACAATTATGTATGCCGAGCCCCAAGGATTTCGTTCAGCTTCATCGCAAAATTCTAAGAAACATTGCCGCTTGCATTCATTGATTGCTTGCTTCAGTGCGTCGCCTGTACACTTATAGGCAATACGAATTCCGAGAATTCGCTCTTTGGTAGTTTCGCCTACATCTTAAAAATTCGCTGAGGTTGTAATTTTTTATTTATTTATAAATTTCAGCTGTTCAAAAAACTTGCAAATTGTTACTGGTTTTCGGTTCACGTGCTGTTTTGGATATTTTTTTTAAATATTGTCAAATTCCCAGGAATTATGTTACTGGCAAGTTACTGGGTAATTTGAAGCATTCGCTGCTTTCAGTGAACTTAGATTTTCTTCGATTAATCAGAGATATCGGACACTTACCGCGAAAAGCCATTTTTCTTAAATTTTCTTTACGATACAAAAAAGCTAAATGCTCTAAAATCATTTCTGCTTATGCCGAATTTGGGCATTAAAAAATATCTCTGCCATTACCACAAATTAATTTTTATCAAACGCTATCACGCAGATACCTATATCCTGATGAACATATGTATTTACAGACCTTTATCAATCCTGAGGATATTTTAGATAAACGGATTAAGGTGAAATACGATAACCCGGATGTGGAACGTTGTCGTAGGTACAGAAAATTGTATCCATATAAGTACTTATATTAATAACTCAAAATATTTACACATTAATTACTGAATTTTAATGTACATATGCACGTTTTTCTAGGGCGCATCGCAATGACCTTGAGAGTATCTTACCTTTCTTCGTCATCGGATTGCTGTACGTGCTAATCAATCCCGGCCCAAAATTAGCCATCAACTTGTTCCGTGCCGTGGGTATCTCCCGCATTACACATACTATCGTTTATGCTGTTGTTGTTGTGCCACAACCAAGTCGCCTGTTGGCATTTTTAGTTGGTGCATTAGTAACCACCTACATGACGTTTCAGGTGGCGCTGACTGTACTGTAAGGGTTGAAGAATTGGAAGAAACTCAATTATCGTATGCTTAAATATTAGGGAGTGTCAAGAGAAGACACGTTTTTTTTAGATAAAAAAACATCCATTATTTTGATTTAGATTTTTGGTACTTCAGTGCAAATATGTATTAATGATTACACTGAAAGGTGACGTTATTAAACAATTAAAGGCATAAAAACATTGCAAGACATTATCAAAAATGACCTGCATATGAATATTTCCAAAAAAAAAATAGATAAATGAAGGTATTCAAAACCAATTAAAGTAAAATAAAATCAACTAATTTAAAATTAAAAATGAGATAAAATAAAATTAAATAAAACAAAGTGAAAGAATCTTAACAAATTATTGAATACTGCTGTATTCACCATAGCCTTTCATGTGATGCCCTTAAAAAAGGGTTTTTGTAACATATGGCTGAGAAATATTAAAACTATAATTAGCATAATATAAATTTTTATACTATACTACAATATATTTATGTAAATATGAATTAACTACAACAATTTTTCGCAATAATTGTACAAATTTTATGCATTTTTATTTTGGGAAAAGGTAAAAAGTTTATACTAGTTATTTACATACATACAAATGCCCATGTAAAGCTCTTTATAATAAATAATGATTTTGAAACTTGTTAACAGATTTCATTTCCTTCTTATAAAGGGCCAAAAAATCAAAATTTTCAATAAGTCTGGTCAAGGGGTATTGGCACTTAAAAAGGGTCTAATAGCCCCTTTAGTCGCACAACGGCAACACTGCCTGAGTCTAAAGTAACGGGTGATTTTTTAAGAGCTTGATACCTTTTTTTTTAAAAAAAACGCATAAAATTTGCAAAATCTCATCGGTTCTTTATTTGAAACGTTAGATTGGTCCATGACATTTACTTTTTGAAGATAATTTCATTTAAATGTTGACCGCGGCTGCGTCTTAGGTGGTCCATTCGGAAAGTCCAATTTTGGGCAACTTTTTCGAGCATTTCGGCCGGAATAGCCCGAATTTCTTCGGAAATGTTGTCTTCCAAAGCTGGAATAGTTGCTGGCTTATTTCTGTAGACTTTAGACTTGACGTAGCCCCACAAAAAATAGTCTAAAGGCGTCAAATCGCATGATCTTGGTGGCCAACTTACCGGTCCATTTCTTGAGATGAATTGTTCTCCGAAGTTTTCCCTCAAAATGGCCATAGAATCGCGAGCTGTGTGGCATGTAGCGCCATCTTGTTGAAACCACATGTCAACCAAGTTCAGTTCTTCCATTTTTGGCAACAAAAAGTTTGTTAGCATCGAACGATAGCGATCGCCATTCACCGTAACGTTGCGTCCAACAGCATCTTTGAAAAAATACGGTCCAATGATTCCACCAGCGTACAAACCACACCAAACAGTGCATTTTTCGGGATGCATGGGCAGTTCATGATGAAATGTCAAAGCATACTGAGCATCTTTCTCTTTGACACCATGTCTGAAATCCCACGTGATCTGTCAAATACTAATGCATGAAAATCCTAACCTCAAAAAAATCACCCGTTATTTATGCAAGGCAATTTTTTTTAAATATTCTAATGGAATAATCTAAGCAATTCATTAGCAAAAACTTAAATATTTCTTCTCAGTATTAATTTACTAGAACGGGGTGATGGACGTCGCTGAACTTGGAACAAACAAAAATGGTATCTGCTGAAGATAATACGAAAAATGTAAAAAGACGAGCCCTACGTTCGGGGCAAAAAAAACTTCGAAATTTCCTTGCAAAAATACTTTAACGTCAGCGGTGTACGGCGAACTTTTCTTTTCTGGTGCGGGAGCCTCACGAAAAATGTCGACCTTGAACCATTTCGTTAAAGTGATGAACTTCGCTAATGTTCTAATGTTGATTTCCGCTATCTCCGCAAGGCTCTGTGGAAAGGGTTTACAGAGCGTCTGTGGTCGTCTTCTTGTCAGTGCTGAGCATTCACATATGACGTGCTGCAGACTCTCTTCTTCTTCGCATCTAAAGCTGGGACAGTAGTCTGGCGCCTTCACTCCCAACCTGGAGGCATGTGTGCCGATTAGACAGCAACCTGTACGAATTCTTGTGAGATGAGACACCTCGGACCGTGCGTTTTTTATAGTAGGCCATGTCAGCCTAGCAGTTTCATAGAAGGAGCGGTCTCTCCGGCGTTCTTTTGCTGTTATTCCTAGCATGGTAATTTAAAAGTGGTCATTGGTATACATACCTCAATATCTCGGCGTCCAAGCACCCATATGAGTTGTATTCTATAATGCAGGGTCGTCGCCTTTGGAGATCTGCGGCATTGAGTGAGAGACTTTGTGTTGTAAATGCGTCGAGCGGGGTAAATGCAGAATCGCGATCAGGGCTTCGGTAAGAGAAGAGCATAGAGCTCCGCTTATGCATAGCTTCGCACTCCTTTGTACCCTTTGAAATTGTCTGAGCACTGTTGTCTTACTAATAGTAAGCCACCATACAAGGGCTCCGTAGAGCAGAATCGGGCGAACAATAGCCGTGTACTAGCTCCAGTGAACTATCCCAGGTGAGAAGCCCTACTTTACATCAAACGCCTTTTTGCATGTGAAGAGCATTGATGCATTCCATTGTGTTGTCATTCCAGAGCAGCTTACTGTCGAGAATTAATCCAAGATTTTTGGCAGTACGTATAAATATCAGGCTCAAGCCTTCCAGTTTAGGGGGTGTAAGAGCCGGTACTTTGTGCTGTCAGGTAAAAAGGACTATCCCAGGTTTAGCTAAGTTAACATCAAGGCCGCAAGGTAACTAGTGACGTCCGGAGGCATCTCTACGAAGTGCAGAGGTTCATCAAACAACCGCTGGACCCAAATGCATACAGACAGGCCCTGAACGGCATTCACAGGGAGTTGCTCTCGAGTTATATAGACTCTCGACCTGTGAATGCCATTCTGGGCATACAACCACCTGACGTGGAGGGGACAGAACTTTGTCTGCCTCCGGAGACTATTCTTTAAAGTCAACCAAAAAAAATTGATCTTTGTGTTCAATTTTCAAATATTTCGGCTGCATGATTATGTTTTTTTTTTTATATAAATTCCGCGGAAGTCAAGTTTGTCCGATTAATCCATGGACGCACTGTATGTACATATGTATGAATTAATTTATGCACATATTTAAATTTAATGACTAGACAAATTTTTTAAGGTGAGAGAAAGCCACAAACTTTGAGCGCATATAAAAAATGAGAGGCTGTCAAATTAACTAATCATATGCAGTCCGATGCGTTATCAATAAAAGCTCATACATGCATACATACATATACATTTACTTATGCTATGTATATACATACATACATACATAAACGATATTAAAAAAGCGCTCCAGAAGCCAGGAGAGTCTATTGGAACCTTCTGCGCTTCAACTACGAAATTAGTTTGTCAGCAGATTCATACGACAGTGCTTTGGCGATTTATACTTCGAAAACGCGTTGAAATTTTGGAAAGAAAAAAATTAATAAATTAGCAAAATGGCAGCGAAAGATTTAATAACATTTGACAATGAAGTATTCAGTGCCTATGTTTTCTGGTCTGCAGTTTTGGTTATTAAAGTATTGCTCATGTCATTACTGACGGGTGCACAACGCTTCAAGACTAAGGTAAAAAAGCAGGGAAAAACAAAGTGAGAAGTAAATATTTATGGGCGTAAAATGTAAATGTAAAAAAATTGTTAGAGAAAAATAGCGAAAACCGGTTCATGTAAGAAAAAAATGTCAAGTCATAGTTATTGGCAAGCTTGTGTTCAAAGTCAAATGTGATTGGTGTTGACAGTTTGATATGACTGCGATTTCGGTATATGTACATATGTATGTACATTAGACTGCATCACTCCCCATACAAAAGAAAATCGGTACTGTTTTTCCATTGGAATTATAAAATCTGTTATATTTTAAGACTTCCACCAAAATATTTCGAAAAAATATTGAGTTTTACGTGCGCTGGATCGATTTGAAAATTTCCCTCTAAAAAGGAGTTTTTTATGAAAAAATAGTTTAATAAAGATTTTTTTTTTAAATTGCCAAATGACAATTTCGAGATAGGGTTTGGGGCACCTTCCAAAATTTTTCCTCTAGCCGAAAGAGGTGCTGGTACCAAACTTTACGTTTCTAAGTATAAATTTGGAGGATGTTCATGATGCTCATATTTTACTCTAGAAATATTGTGTAAATACATATATTATTTAACCAATCAATGGGTTCAGCAACCTAAGTACATTTCAAATTTAAATTATCTAGAAAAATATCACAAGCTTCAGTTGTCATGGCAGCAGTAGCTTTTTATAAAAATCACTAATATTTTTGCCAGTTTCACAGCGATCCAGTGGCGCATTTAATGGGTCATTGAGCACCCTATATTCAGTAGAAAATTTAAAGTTGGTATAGGTACCAAAAGAAAAAAAACTAAGAACGCGCCCCGTTTTCTGGGATGATATTTTTTCCCCACATACAAAAATTGGACCACTCTAATGTACATTCATATGTTTATACATACATATGTATGTATTAGTCTTCTCACATGAAGACATTTTAGATTATTATTCTATACACACATTTTTTTAGTGTAAAACAAATTTTAATTGCAATATCATTTCTATTTTCAGACCTTTGCCAATCCCGAAGATTTGTTGGACAAACGTCTTAAGGTGAAGTTCGATAATTCTGATGTGGAACGTGTGCGCAGGTATGCAAACAAATACATTCATATAACTTAGTTTTCTCTATGAAAATGTCACTCTCTTCGATCTCTTATCCATTAGGGCTCATCGCAACGATTTGGAGAATATTCTGCCTTTCTTCGCTATTGGCTTTCTCTACGTTCTAATCGATCCAGCACCAGGTTTGGCTATCAATCTTTTCCGTGCTGTGGGTATTGCACGCATTATTCATACGATTGTCTATGCTGTTGTTGTTATGCCACAACCCAGCCGTGCCTTGGCATTTTTTGTTGCTCTAGGTGCCACAGTCTACATGGCGGTGCAGGTGTTACTTGCTGCATTGTGAAGGAGGAAGAGTTGAGTCGTGTAAACAACTTTGTAATATACAATATTTTTTCGTACATACTTATGTAAATATTTAAGAGAATATACTATTTTGTAGTTAAAAAAGGTCAGCTACTTTTCAATAAGAGAAAAAACAATACGTTACTAATAAATTTTAAGAATACAACAAATGCCGATCTTTGGAGGCTGTGGAGTTCAATGTA